CCCCTATGCAATTAGTATTTGGTCACGAACCAAATATATCTCATCTACGTATTTTTGGGTGTGCTGTTTATGTTCCTATTCCACCCCTCAAACGTACAAAAATGGGTTATCAACGTAGATTGGGCATTTATGTTTGATATGAATCGCCGTCAATTATAAAATATCTTGGACCTATGACTGGTGATTTATTCACTGCAAGATATGCAGATTGTCATTTTGATGAATCATATTTTCCAACATTAGGGGGAGACAGAAATGAATCGAAAAGCGATATTAATTGGAAAATCCCATTGAATTTTTTTTATCTTCGTATAAAGAAGTGTGAACTAGAAGTTCAACGCATTATACAATTGTAAAATATTGCAAATCAGATACCGGATGCATTCAATGAATCGAGTAAAATCACTCGATCATATATTCAAGCTGCTAATGCTCCGGCTAAAATAATTGTCCCTGATGGACAAATTGCAAGTGCTAATGAATCAGCGGCACACTTAAAGTGTGGTAGACCACTCGGTTCTAAAGACAAACATCCTCGAAAGAAAAGAAGAATAAATTATGATAATCATGAAAATCTCATGAATGACATTGATAAACCTCAATCTAATGAGTAAGTAAAACCTGAAATAATTGCTCCAGAAGAGCACGATCTTGAAAAACATGATGAGATTATTGAAAACTCAATTAACTATGTTACTTCAAGAAAATATTGGAACTATAAAGAGGCAATTATTAATAATACATTCGCATACAGTTTAGCACTTGATATAATGGAAGAAAACGAGGATCCAGAGCCAAAATCGGTTCATATGAATGTCGGCAAAGAAATGACTGGCTAAAATGGGAAATGCGATTCAATCAGAGCTTGACTCATTAAACAAAAGGGAGGTCTTCGGACCAATTGTTCAAACACCAGATAGTATAAAATCAGTTGGATACAAATTGGTGTTTGTACGCAAAAGAAATGAACATAATGAAATTCTGAGATATAAAGCTCGTCATGTAGCTTAGGGATTCTCACAGAGACCTGGAGTAGACTTTGATGAAACATATTCTCCAGTTGTTGATGGAATAACATTTAGATACCTTGTGAGCCTAGCAGTATGAGAAAAGTTCGAGATGCGTCGTTTAGACGTAGTTATGACATCTTTAAAGCTCATTGGATACTGATATTTATATAAAATTCCTGAGGGATTCAATATGCTTGAAGCATACAAATTAAACCTAAAGGAATCATATTCCATCAAATTGAAAAAGTCATTGTATGGACTTAAACAATCAAGGCGAATGTGTTATAACCGTCTCAGTGACTATTTACTAAAAGAAGGTTATACTAATGACCTAATATACCCATGCTTCTTTATCAAGGAAAATGGATCAAATCTTGTCATTATTGCAATATATATTGATGATTACAATTTAATTGGAACTCCAGAAGATATCCAAATTGCAGTTGAATACCTAAATAAAGAATTTGAGATCAAAGATTTTGGAAAGACAAAATATTTTCTGGGATTACAAGTGGATCATGTGAACAACGGAATATTTATCCATCAATCCACATATACCCAAAACTTATTAAAAAAATTTTATATGGATAAATCTCACTCTCAGAATACACCAATGGTGGTCAGATCTTTTGATCCCAGTAAAGATCCATTTAGGTCAAGAGAAGAAAATGAAGAAATACTTGGTCCTGAGGTACCATATCTCAGCGCTATTGGCGCATTAATGTACCTTGCAAATTGTACCAGGCCAGATATATATTTTTTCAGTCAATCTACTGGTCAAGTTTAGCGCATCCCCCACAAAGCGCCATTGGAATGGTATCAAGCACATTTTTCGTTACCTTCAGGGGACTCATGACCTTGGTCTATTCTATTTGAGTGAATCTCGAAATAAATTAATTGGTTATGCTGATGCTGGTTATCTGTCTGATACACACAAATCAAAATCTCAAACTGGCTATTTATTTACTTGTGGTGGAACCGCAATATCTTGGAGATATGCTAAACAGACAATAACAATTACTTCTTCAAACCATGCTGAGGTTTTACCAATTCACAAAGCCATTCGTGAATGCGTTTGGTTGAGGTCTATGACCCACCATATTCAGAAAAATTGTGGCTTGATTTCTGATGATATATTACCTCATAGAATACTGTTTGAAGATAATGCAACTTGTATATCTCAATTAAAATGGGGATATATTAAAGGCGATCATACAAAGCACATATCTCCGAAGTTCCTTTTCACTCACGATCTTCAGAAAAGTGGTGAAATTAATGTGCAACAAATTCGATCGTCTGAAAATTTTGCAAATTTATTCACGAAGGCGCTACCGACTGCAACATTCAACAAATTGGTGCAAGAAATTGGAATGCGTCGACTAAAAGACATCACATAAAGTCCAAAACAGGGAGACCGCGTTAATACAAGAATGATGTACTTTTTTTTCCTTCACTATGATTTTTTCCACATAATTTTTTCGTAATAAGGTTTTAATGAGGTACATTTATTTGTATAAAATATCTAAGGATAAGTGCTATACACATATGTAATACATAGCTACTTATGGTAATACATACATTGAATTCGTAGACATTGTGTAGGCTGAGACGTTGATGTTTTTTATTGGACTGAAAAGTCTATATATATCTACTGAAATTATAGAAATGAAACACAGGATGTCAGAGCATTTCATTTCCTCTCACACACTTTTCCAATATCCCCATCTCATTCTTATCTCTCTATTTATTATTGCACATGAATCATATCATCATAATACATAACTAAACATATATAAATATATTATACTCCCTCCGTCCCACAACAAGATATCTATTTATTTTTTGCATATTGATCTTTGAATATTAATTATTATATCAAATCGTATTACGAATAAAGAGAAAATGACAAAAATACTTCTATTGGTGTCTTATAATACTATTATAATAACATTTGTATAAAAAATTATACAAATATAAAGATATTTTCAATATTAAGTATAATAACGCAAAAAGCAAATTGATACTTTGTTATGAGACTTAGGAAGTATTAGATTTCATACATACATACATATATCATTTATATCTAACAATACTCGGAGACATCTTTATACATATATGTTATACTTACCATTATATATTATAATTTAGTATTTCCTAAATTATGGAATAAATATAACCATTATAGATAATTAAAATAATAGATACATTAAATATTGTGAATGGAGCAAATAGTTAGAAATAGATAGGAAATTGGAAAAAGTCGCATTTCAGTGTATTATGGTGTAATTAGTATGAATTTGATCCGGTTTTATTTCAAATCAAAATCAATATTATTTATTATACATAATTTTTATTAAAAATTTATTATTTTTTTTACAAAATTATCATATTAAATATTATTTAAACAACATTTCAAATCAACATTACATTTCAAATAAATACCAAATTACAAACAAATAAACCCTATATAACTAGTTAGGAGTAACTCACATGAATTTTAAACAAATTGAGTTTCTAAATAATATACTCTTATCAACTAGTAAATTTTATATTTGTCATTTAATAATTTTTTATTTTTTATTTTTTAAGTAACTCTCAACTAAATACTAAAATATTTTTATTTTTTATTTTTTCACATTATTTTTCAAAAATAAGATTGATGTTATATTACTTTATATACTAAATCATATATATAGTTGACTAGAGACTTTAATTTTCACGTACTCATAATTTTGAGTTTTATTTTAGTTTTTTAAATATGAACTTCGGATAATTAATTAAAATTTTTTAAAATAAAAAATAATTCAATAAAATTAAGATTTATTAGATAATAAATAACAAAAATGGGAATAAAATCAAATTTTCATTATCTATATATATATTTTATTTTTAATTCTATAAATTCTTCGATTTTAATTTTTTTTGCTTTAAAGAATTGTATTTTTTTTAATTTATACTTATATAATTTCTTTGATTATTTGACATAGAAATCCGGAGAAAAAAATTATAAGAAGAATACAAAAAAATAATTATTTTTGCTTCGTTAACCATCTAATTAAGCTGAAATTTTCAAAGAGTGCTTATGATTCGTTACCCTTTCAATCTAACAGTGAGATTTGTGATTGGATATTTGTAGTTTGATCATAATTTTATAAAACGTGACAAATTTGTTTGGTTTATTTTCTTGATTTTAATTTTTCTTAATTTTTTTATCTTCGTTAGTTGACTTAGTGGTAATTGGCAGGCGTGTTTACACCTATTTTCTAAGGACTATTATATACAATTTAATTATAGTATATTTTGTTCTTTGGTCTGGCTACCCGTGAATTGTTTTATTTATCTTTAAAAAAAATTCATTATAAAATTTATCGTATTTTTTTTTCATATTTTATTTGCAAATATAATTTGTTATTATTTTTCATATTTTTACAAAGGGATTGCATTTTTTTTTTATCAATATATATATAGTGAAATTCTAACAATAAAATTTTTTGTTTAATTTTTAAAATTTAAAATTTAAAATTTATTTATGCATAAGTTAACTATTGTATTATATTGATTTATTATTCTTATTGTTAAGTATTTTTTTTAGTTTTACTAATCAATTCTAATATTCATGGTGTGATACATAAAAGATAAGAAAAAAATGGCAAAAAGGAATAAGCAAATAAACAATACTATATTTTTTAATTATTTATTGTATTTTTAAAAATATTATGTAATTTATTTTTTAAATTAATTTAATTGGAATAATATATTAAATATATAAAAAAAAAAACTATAAACATTTTTATAAAAAACATTAAATTAATATATAATTTAATATAAATATAAGGCATAGATAGCACTAGCACTGGTTTCACGGTAACATACTAGCATCTATATAAATAGCTAAAAAGAACAAATATAACAGTGTCAAAAACATAACTAGATATCTATATAAATAGCTAAAAAATCAAATAGTGAATTGCAATAACACTGTCAAAAACATATGTAAAATAATAAAATAAAAGAAAAATAAATGGTACATGAGTAGGTTCACATTTATACCAGGAATAACACCGTATGTAAGCTTATAATAATAATACTAATAAAGAATTTCGTGTAGCAGAAATTACCCATAAAAAATAATTAAATAAATTCAATATTACCGTCTTTAAATCAAATCCGACTCGCCGTCGCCGTCGCCGCCGTGGCAAGCGCCCCCATTTTGTTAGCGATGTCCCGAAGAGCATACTTCTGCACCTTCCCGGTGGCGGTTTTGGGCAGCTCCGCCATGAACACCACCGTCTTGGGCACCATGAAATGCGGCATCCTCGCCCTGCAAAACTCTATCACCTCCTTCTCCGGCGGCGCCCGCCTCACCCCTTCCTTCAAGCTCAAGAATGCGCACGGCGTCTCCCCCCAGAAATCATCCGGCCGCGCCACCACCGCCGCCTCATTCACCGCCGGATTCGTGTACAGAACAGATTCCACCTCCACGCTGCTCACATTCTCCCCGCCGCTTATGATCAGGTCCTTCGACCTGTCCTTAATTTCCATGTACCCGTCGGGGTGCATAACCCCGACGTCGCCGGTGTACAGCCACCCGCCCCTCAAACTCTCCGCCGTCGCCGCCGGATTTTTCAGATACCCAAGCATTAAAGACCCTCCCCGGAGCACGATCTCACCCATCTCCACCCCATCCCTCCTCACACTCTCCCCCGTCACCGGATCCACCACGTCCGCCGCCGTCAGGCCCACCGTCCTAACCCCCTGCCGCGCCTTCATCCTCGCCCTCTCCGCCGCCGGAAACCTATTCCAGCTCAATTTCCAGGCGCACGACACCACCACTCCGGCGACCTCCGTCAACCCATACCCATGGCTCACCACAAACCCCAACTCCTCCGCCCGTAGCACCACCGACGGCGGCGGCGGAGCGCCGCCGGTCATGAACTGAACCGGGCTCCTCAGCCGCCTCGCGACGGCGCAATTCGCCAACATCGTCAGAATCACCGGCGCCCCGCACATGTGAGTGACATTGTTAGAATAAATAGCGGCGTAGAGGTCGCCGGCGGTGAATTTTCTGAGACAGACATTGGTCCCGCCGACGGCTGCCATGCCCCAGGTGTAGCTCCAGCCGTTGGAATGGAACATCGGCAGTGTCCAGAGGTAGACAGGCTGTTTAGGGACCGACCAATTGAGGAGAGAATCGACGGTAATAATGGAAATGGATCGATGAGAATGGACGACGCCCTTGGGAGAAGAAGTGGTCCCCGACGTGTAATTAAGGGTCATCGGATCCCATTCGCTCTTCGGCCGGACCCAATCGAACTCTGGGTTTCCTGTCCGTACCATTCCCTCGTAGGTTCGTGACGGCGGATCGTCGTTTTCCTCGGGCTCATCCTGGCCGTCGGATATGACGATGAGAATCGGACGGCTGGGAGTGGGGAGGAGCGACGCGGCTTTCTCGACGAGGCGGCGGTGGTGGGAGTCGACGAACACCGCCTTGCAGTCGCTGTGGCGGAGGATGACGGCGACGGTCCTGGCGTCGAGTCGGGTGTTGATGTTGTTGAGAACGCAGCCGGCCATTGGCACCGCGAACTGGAGCTCGTACATGGCGGGGATATTCGGCGCCACCACCGACACGACGGCGCCGGCGGGGAATCGGAGGGAGGCGAGGGATGAGGCGACTTTGAGGCAGCGGGCGTGGGTCTCCGACCACGTGTAGATTCTGCGGTGGTGGACGACGGAAGGGCAGTCGGCGTAGACGACGGCGGCCCTCTCCAGGAAGCTGAGTGGGGTTAGCGGGCAGGAATTCGCCGGGCATGGCTTCAGATCCTCCATCAATGGCGCTGCTGCTGCTGCTGCTGACTGATTAATTAAATTATATTAGATTAAATTAAATCCTCTCCCTGCCTTTGTTCATTGTACATAATATGGAGGGAGTAAATACGTATGCATATGGAGGGAGTAAATACAATACAGTTAGAAGTTGCTGTGATGGTAATGGCCATGGCGTGTCGGCTGCGAAGCTTCCCATGATTTTGCCCATCCGCAATAATAGAGATTTTACGTTTTACAAGTTACAATCATAATTGGATCGAGTAGTTTATTTCAAAACTCATCTATTCCCTCTATTCTAACAAATCAAATCCTAACATTTGAAAGAAATAGAACATGAATAAGATAATTATGTTTGCTTTTAGTTGTTTTGTTTGGTCATTTATGATGAAAATATTTCAAATATTATCACAATGTTTTTTATTGTTTGTTTGTTTTATGTCTCCATTGTATTTTCTTGCGTTGGTAATAATTTTGCGTGTTTGTTGAATAGGATAGTTTAAGTTTTTTATGTTAAAAGTTTTAAATTTGTTGAATACATATTATCTTGTGTTTGTAAAAAATATACAGAGAAAACGAAGATAATAATCGAAGGAAATAGAAAAAATGATTGTTGATAATTATTGAACAATTATTGTGAAATGTATTACGAATGCGGCAAGTCTTGTTAATAGGGTCAAATTGTGTACACCTAGTGGTGTAGTGTTCATCATTGTATGTTTTATAAATATTTTATTATCGTTTATTAAATATTAAACCTAAATTCTTTGTAGTCTTCTCTTGTGTTTCAATTTGTTTTGGTAGTGCATCGAAAAACTATATTGAATAATTGAGAAATTTGTCACTAAATCCACTAATAATTATAATATTTCTTCTTAAAAAATATGATGTTACTAGCTAAAAATTCACAAATATGTAGTCTTGAAACTTATTGCATTTCCGCTGAAAACAATAAATTCTAGCAAAATATATATATATGTTTTATGGAAACACAAGCTGTTTTCTCGAGCTCGAGAAAAAAAGCTGTGTTTCCGCTAAAAATTAGGTATTTTTCAAGTACAAGTACAAGACTTGAAACGGTTTAAGTCCTAATTGATTCCTATGTATGTACAACTTTGAACTTATATAGGTATAAATGTCTACTATTGTAGGTACAACTTTCCGCGTACTATTTATTGAAGCGATTTCACTGTCTTATCGTGCTTGACCAATACTCAATGTTCAAAATAGTTTATTCTCGTGTCCCACATGAAAAGGTGGAGATGGAAGTGGGTTTTGAGATTGTGAAAACGCACTTGACATAAAAAAATGACGTTATATTGTCGAGAATTTTTCTTGAATTTATGTATATATATATTTATGTGTATATATGTATTTATGTATACATTAATATATATATATATATAATTGTATATACAAGACTTATAAAAAAGAAATTATTAATTGATATTTATTTACATTTATACTTGACTAATATTGATAAACAATATACATTTATATGTGCAATTACAACTTTTATATTTATATATTGTTTACATTAAACGATATTGGCATGAAAAATGATGTCTTATTGTCAAAGTTTTTTCTTGTAAGTGATGGGTATGTGCTCCTAGTTAAAGTATATGTACGGTTGCATCCAAATACGCTGAAAAAATCCAAAAATATCGAGTTTGATCTCGAAGTATAAGTTTCTTTTAGTACAAGTACAAGCCTAACGAGAGTTAAGTGCAACATGATTCTTATGTATGTACAATTTTGAGCTTGTTTAGGTATAATTGCCTTCTATTGTAGGCATACTCTTTCGCGTATTATGTTTTCGAGACAGTTACAACATATATATTTACATCTATATTAATATATACAATTGTATATAAAATATTTATAAGTAATTTTTACGAATAAATATTTATTTACATTTTTATCTACATTTACATTTGGCATAAGAAATGACATTGTATGTTGAGGATTTTTCTTATAGTTTTGGGGATATGTGTTCCTTGTTGAAGTATAGTACGGTTGCATCCGAAGCAAAACCCAAAAAATCTCAACTTTAATATCAGTATAAGTTTCTTCTAGTACATGTACAAACCTAACGATGACCAAGTATAACATGATTCCTATGACAAATTTGAACTTATGTAGGTACAATTGTTTCTATTGTAGGCACACTCTTCAGCATACCGTTTTTTCGAGACGGTTATAACATATATATAAATTTACGTATATATATAATTGTATATACAATATTTATAAATAATTTTTACGAATAGATATTTATTTACATAAATAATTGCAATATTTACATTTGGCATGAAAAATAACGTTGTATTGTAATATATAAATTTACGTATATATATATAATTGTATATACAATATTTATAAATAATTTTTACGAATAGATATTTATTTACATAAATAATTGCAATATTTACATTTGGCATGAAAAATAACATTGTATTGTAATATATAAATTTACGTATATATATATAATTGTATATACAATATTTATAAATAATTTTTACGAATAGATATTTATTTACATAAATAATTGCAATATTTACATTTGGCATGAAAAATAACGTTGTATTGTTAATGATTTTTCTTATAATTTGGGGATATATATTCCTTGTTGAAGTAAACGTACGGTTGCATCCGAATGCGGTGGAAAAATTCAAAAATCTCGACTTTGATATTAAAATACAAGTTTTTCTAATACAAGTATAAGACTAGCGAGAGCCAAGTGTAACTTAATTCTTATCTAGGTACAACTTTGAGCTTGTGTAAGTACAATTATTTTTAATATTTGTTGTTTATCACGGAAGCAGAGTGTATTTCTACGACCTCGGGGAAACATACTATGTTTCTGCGAGAAAAGTTCATCTCGGGTCAAAAATACCTGTTTTTAGTGGAAACCATAGATGTTTCTGCGAGCTCGCGGAAATATCCATGGTTTCTGCTGAAAATAGGTATTTTTTGCGTAGGAGATAATAGCTCTGGATTACACAATTTCTTCATTTTTTTATTGGAATTACGAAGATCTTCTTGTCTTTATTGTTTTTATACATTGCTATATTACGATAGAAAATATAAAAAATATATTATAACACATTGACCTTAGAAATCTTATAAACAACAAATAAATGCATAAAATATATCAATAATTTACAATTTTAAGTGTAGAGAATACCCAATTGATGAGAGAAAATTCGAAATACAAATTTCTAGCATAAACTTTATGCAAACTGCGCGGCCCATCATGTGCAATTATATTGGGTGAGAACGGTGGAACAACTTTTATTTTATGCTTATTTAAATTTTGGATTCTAAAGACACAAGTCTTTTAACACAATAGAGGTATTTAAGTCTTTTTAATAATAATAATACTCCATCCGTCTACAAACTAATGTCCTATTTTTCTATTTGGGACGTCCAACAACTATTGTCCTATTTTCTTTTTTAAACACAAATTTTATATTTTTACCCTTCATTCATTTATTACTTTTAATATCTACCATACAATTAAGGGCAAATTTGTCAATTTATAACAAAAAGACAATCACCTAAAAAACCGTGCAAATATACTTTAGGACAATAGAAATTGTGGAATGAGTAATAATTGTTGAAAGGAATAAGTAATTTACATGGAAGTGTCCCATTAAAATAACTAATTAATTTAATCAAAATTAAAAATATATATATACTGATTATAAAATTTAAAATATAATTAAAGTATATAATTATTATTTTTGAAAAATAAATGACAAATAAAATTGGACGAACAAAAATAAAAAATAATGAACAAAAAATTGGGATGAAAGGAGTAATTGATAATCGCTCAAAAAGTTATTTGATATGAGATTAATACCACGTGTGCTCACACACCACATGAATTTAATTTTGTGTATATATTTATTTACAAATACATTCACATTAACATTTTGTATTAAAAATTTCCGTATGGCGAAATCATATAAATTCCTAATATGTCAATGCACACTTGGTAATAATTTAGTACCAAAAGATATTTTCAACAACTAAGCAACAGAACCATTTCTATACAATATTTATTTTAATAATAAAAAATAATGATTATGACATTTGTAACTAAAAATACATTTATTTCTGGAGTAAAATAAACTCAAGTATGTTTGTTATTACCCCAATAAAACACACCAAATAAAAAGGTTTGTTTGATTTTAATTTTAATATTTTATATAAATTTAATTTAAATATAATGATGATTTGCAAAAGTTATACTCCTTCCATCCAACATAACTATGCCACTTGTTTTTTTTGGTGGACCAAAAAAAACAAGTGGCATAGTTATGTTGGACGAGACAATAATTTTCTTAATAATGAAAGTAAAAATCTATAAATAGGTGTTATACATATTCAGTAAATCAAATAGGTTCTATTGGGGCTTTACTCAGTACGCACTTTTGGGCAGCGGCTGCGGATTCTCACGTTATCAAAATAATAATAATAATAATAATAATAATAATAATAATAATAATAATAATAATAATAATAATAATAATTGAATATAATGAATATAATCAAATAATAATAAAATCTAATCTAAAATAAAATTTATGAATTATAAACATGTATATTTCAACATCCTCTCAAACTTAAGTACATGTTGTATAAGACAATTTGAGTTTGTGCAAGATAGACTAAAAACTAGCAAAATAGTGCGACTTGGTGAAGACATCTGCAGTTGAATCTTCAAAAGAGACGAAACACAGCTTAACATTTATAAGCAACAAGATGACGAATCAGGTAGAATTCAATCTCATTATGTTTAGTGTGTTCATATAAAATATCATTGTGAGATATTTGAATAGCACTTATATTATCACAATGCAGAGCAGTAAGAAGACTAAGGTACCCTAAGGTCAGCAAGTAGCCTATAAAGCCGTAAGAGCTCAGAAGTAACTTCAGCAAGAGCCCAATTTAAAATTTAATTCTACAATAATAGACAAATGTTTGCTTCTTGCTATGATATGAGATAAGAGAACCACAAAAAAAAAAAAAAAACCAATGGTAGAGCGATGATTCATAGAATAGCCCCTAATCAACATCGGAATAAATGGATAGAATTAAGGAGACTGATTTGAA